AAAGTTTTATAAAGAGTAGTGTTGCTTTGTTAATATTAGTGTTAAACATACCCTGGAAAACTCTTGTATAGGCTTCAAGGATATTGCAAGACAAATTCAGAAAGATGTTAAAGAATATTCCATAGTCTATCTTCACTTTCTCTAAGCACGGCCTAAAATCTAGAATTTAAGCACATGCTTAAAATTAAGATCATAGATTGAGTAACTTAGCAAAAACGCAAAAGAAGCACAGTAAATCAGAGAAATATTTTATATTGTATACAAGATTTGAAGACAATAAGCCCCTAGCCTCCTGACCAGCAAAGCCTCAGTTGTCACTGGATAGGTAACAGAGGGAGGACACAGGAAACTAATCAGAGAGTGCCATAGTACAAGACAAAGGGAAATTATTAATTATAAGGTTTGGACAAATAGCAGTAGAGCAAACTTATCCCAGTACACTGCTCTTGTGTTTCCCACCTCCCACTAGTGATGATAATGACACCCTTTCTAGGCAGAGTTACACTGCTTGTGCCGGCCTGATGGCTCTGAGCTGCTGTTTGAACAGCTTCCAGCACAATGTGCGCGTGCCAGAGGACGTGTCTTAATAAATAAATAATTCATTACATTCCACTAATACAACCAGAGAGGTGGTGCAGCAAGCTTTTTCTGTGCAATTAATAATATGATGTGGCACCTGTTTAAATGATTCACATCAGGATTCAAATCTCCATATACTCTTAAATCAATCGCATTTTAACATCATTCTTAGATCCGAATTTTCCGTACAAGATAAGAGCGGGAAAAAATTCTGCACTGTTTCCATGAGACAGTGCATGTTTATGCCATCTGCAAATGAGATATGTGTTTGTGGCTAGGGAGAGACAGCCTAAATTCCAGTTTAGTCAGATAATAAAATAGAGCTTTCAGTAATCAAAAGCACTGAGAATAATATGCTACTTTTATGCAGGAAAAAAAACCCACTGCTGTGCACATTGATACTTACCATTGTTTTGATCTGCATAGGCCCATCTTATTCCTGAACTGACCTGTTCACTCTGAGTTCTTCTGTTGGCCTGTCAAGCAAAAGCTGGAGAAGAAACCGTGTTGCCTCTCTGCAGAAATAGAAAGTAAACCCAGTTTGTCCAATGCAACAGGGGTAATGGGATTCAGTGCAGAAGTATGCTACAGCTACCTGGCACTTAATCAGTGCTATAATTTCTGCAGCTGAACCCTGTCCTCATTTATAAGAGGGGGAGGAGAGCAGGATTTTATTCTTTCCAGTACCCACGTAAACACACAGCAAACTAACTTCTCAATAAACAATAATTTTCAAGTTCTTTCCTGTCCACCACTCATTGATTTAGAGTGAAAAATGTCTTTCCCATATAAATCTCTTTTGTTTCTGTTCTCCTTTTGCGCTCCACAAAGATAAAACCCCTGGCTATTTTGTTACGTATGCTGTAGGATAGATGTTTGCAGGGAAAGCCAAAATGACTTCATACATGCCAGTCTTTCCAATGAGTACTTACACTACATCAGCTTTAGGTGCTGTTGAATCACCTATTCTGCACAGATAGACGGAGTACACCTGCAGTCTTTAATGTTTTTAAGCTTTGAATGTCTTAGGCCAGCTTTAGCGTAACCATGGCCGGTGCATACGTCTAAGACACCTGCTGAAACACATCGGCTCACCAGTCTTGGCCCTTTCCCAAACAAACCCAACATGAGACCAAGTCAGAGGTGAGTAACGTTTGTTTCCCAGGATTTGTGCTGTGTTTGAGGAAGCCTCAGGCCAGCCTAGGGCCCTCCTGAAATGCCAGAGCTGCAAAGGAAAGTCATAGCAGACTCAAGGAGCTGCTTTCATAAGTTTAGTAGCGGAGACTGTGAGCTTACTTTTACGCTGCAAAAAAGTAAAGAGCTCTTAGAATATTAAGCAAATGTCGACCAAACCATCTCTTCAGGTAGCAGCTGAGGAGTGCTAATCAACAGCAGCTCATGACATACAATATTATATCTCAAAGATCCACACATTCAGTCTGGATTCGTCTTTTATTTTATTCAAGTGGTCACGTACAATTTTCCTGCAGAAGCTGGAAAGCCAGGGTAAAACTTGAGATTCAGAATCCTAATCAGTTAAGTTCTACCTTTTTGCTGTAATTTTGAGCTCGAAAAGGTCAAGGCAAAGTGGGAGTTTAGGAAATAATTGTTTACAACAATTTCTGGATCATTGCGCTTCATTTGCACAAGTTGATTAGACAAGAAGCTAAATTTTTAGTTGATCTCCGTGAGTACTTTCATCTGATTATCTTCAGGTCACCTACTATGTGTATTTTGTATACACTTACATACACACATTGTTCCAACACAAATTCTCCTATACTGTGAGGTTGTTTCTGAGTGACTTTTACTGATGTTCCAAACATGAATCCGTGCCCCAGCAAAAGATCCAATTCACATCCTCTAGACTGATGCTGTTCCCTTTTCTGCAGCTGACAGGGTGTCAATTACTTGAAGCCTTCAAATACTCAGTATTTGCTCTAGAATTTTGAAGGATACTTTAATATATCGTTCACTGTGGAATATGTTGCACTGGCTTTGTCAGCGGTTACTTCAAAAGCCAGGCAGAACACTGACTACAATATCTAAGCTCTGTTTAACAGCACCATGAAGCCCTTTTTAGTCTTGGGTTTGAATGGTTTAGTTCTACCTCTAATGCAGCCTGGCACATCTTTGGGTGTCCCCAGATTAAGTTTTTTAGTTCTGTACTAAAAATGTACTAAAATGTACTAAAAATGAGGCAGCCTGCTTTTCTTCTTAGGGCTCATCACCATGGTATGGAACAGAATCATTTATTTTTGTGATTTTCTTTTAGAGAATTCCCAAGCATGGAAAGCAAAACAACAGAAGCAAGCCAATGAAAGTATAATTCCTTTCAGCTTTAGCCCAATAAACTCTAGATCCTAAATATTAAGGATCAATAACAATTTACAGAGAAGTAATGGAGTCAATTTTCTTTTTACTGAAATGTTCTTATTCTTGTCTTTAGGCCTTCTAAGAGACACCTATTCTGTTGACACTGAAGACCTTGTAGAAGATGCCATTATTAAAGACTTTTAATAAGAAACCTGAAAATCTCTTCTCATCACCTGTCACAGGCAGGAAACATCTAAACTCCAGTAAAATCTGTAAGATAGAAGTATTTCTGTATTTCAAGGCATCATCCATCAGCTCTATATTGTTCTGGTTAGGGGAGCCTGCCATTGCCTCTAGTCTGTCACTATGTACAATTTATCCTTCAAGGAGTCACTTTGGCTTATTTCCTTGGCTTTCATCGCCTTCCCTCATTTGATGAGACTAAAAGAAAGTGACAGGTATATGGTTACTAAACAACACGACTGAACTGGTTCTCCAAAGGACTCGGGCCTTCTGGTAATGCTCTTCTTGTTTAGTAGCCTTGTCTGAAGATGCAGCCACCTGGGAAGAAGACCCTGAGTTTCACAGTGTGTCCTTGGAGATAGCAGGGGCTGTATTTTTATCCATTCCTCAGTGGTCACCCATAGAAAGCAACATCACAGAATGATGTTAGCCGTTCACAGCTTTCCCGTAGTATCCATAACATCTTGCCGGTTTGGTGACTGCAGCACCAGCCTTGAAAGGCAAGAGCTTGTGCTGGGGCCTGGGGCATGCTCTGCCAAATTAGGACATCTTGGAGTGACCCGGAGCCCAAGCATCATACCAGACACGTAACGTTAAGTCCATGTTTCATTTTAAATTCTGAGGTTCTCCCATTTCAGTAACTGTGAGATTCAGAGGGCTGCGCTAAAAGCCTCTCTTCTCTTTGTCCTTGCCATGGGGAAAGATTTTAAAACATTTTTGGCTGACTCTGGCTTCCAGAAAATGAGTCCTATAACAGCACCGGCTGCTTGAGCTGGGAACGAAACATCCCTGCGGTTACACAGCTTCCTAAACTCCCACAGGCTGTGGCCAAGAGGAACCGCAGAGGCACTCATTTGTCGCAGAGTTATCTCCTCACCTGCAATTACAACCCATTTTTAGAAATTTTCCCTTTACAAAGGCAAATAAAACCCTCAAAGAAAAAGCAAAAGCAGCCCTCTCACCTATGCTGCTTAGAGCCTCCCCAAACGTGTTCACCCTTGTGGGGGAGGTAAGCTGTGAGTTGGTTAGTCATACACTGGGAGATTTCAGAAGGTGAGAATGTGGATAAGAAAAATAAGTAGCATTTTTCAGGCAGATCCAAGCAAGAGCAGACACTTTGCTGCTGTATATTGGGGCAGAGCCAGTGATTTCAGTCACCAGCACTCAGCCAACAGACACAGGGTAAATGTGTTGCCACCAGTGTCCAGGCAATGAGTCACCTGCCATTATCCTGTAGGCCTCCACTGAGCTGAGAACAAATGCAACAATATGGAGAAAGCAATGTGGGAAAACAAGCAGAAAAATATGACATATAATCCCTTGCATTATATTACATATACTCGTGCTGGCATCATGGTCATATAGCAAGCTCTGGCTGGATAGGCCTTGGACCTCAGCAACAGTCTTACTTCAACATTAAGCGCAACGTGGAGCCCATTACACCCCAGACTTTTGTATACGTACTCAATACCTTGTCCCAAGTCTAAGTGACCCCCAATGGACATAAAAAGCACTTGATAATTAAAATTACAAAATCAAATCACAAATGTGAATGAAAAAAGCCTGTTCTGAGCCATTTGAAGCAGCTGAAACGTACCTCCCAAGCAGCAAATAGTTTTTGCAAGAAGAAAATCCAAGGAACTTGAGCAGGTGTTTGGCAGTCTTCTGCCAGGCAGGGGTGCCTTGTGTACGAAGAGTACCCGTCTGAACTAAAATGCATTTATTGGTGAGTGAGTTCTTTTTTCACTAAAGAAAAAAAAGGGAATCTGAGACAGTTAAGATTTCCTTTATTCTGGCTACTGCTGACCTTCTACTAGTTGTCATTGAAAATGAAATGGCTTGTAATGGGATCTTGCGGTTTCGATGCTCTAGAAAAGCCTTTTTTATGAGGGCGCAGCTTGATGACTCTGATGAGTCATACCTCATGAAAAAGATGCGGATTCAAAAGCAGCCAGTTCTAGTGGTCGGCATGTTTTATATATTAACAGTCTCCAGGGGCCTTGCTCATGGAACAGCACTGCAAAAGGTCAGCAAGTACAGTCCGTGTTTGTCTCGGAAGACCAGTACAGAGCTGCTGGGGGTGCAGGTCCCTTCAAGAGTGAATCTCATGCACTTTGTGCCAGGGAGAGAGCACAGATGGAGCCATATACACAGAAAGGATGAAGAGGAACAAAGGGAGGCTGCTTCTTAGCATATGCTTGGATTTGTTCGCAAACAAGCTTAACAGATACCACAGCAGCCTTATTAAAAGTATGCTTTTCTGTGCCTTACTATAGTTTACTCTGGCATCCATAGTAAACTGTCCTAACCACCAGCAGGAAACAGAGAATGCAAAAGAAGCCACAACCTCCCTCCCTACCCTACAGCCTGTTCGAATGACAGGCTACACAAAGGTAAGCAGGTAAGCAGGGTGATGTACATTGAATTTGCTGTGTACATCAAATAGAGCAACCACAAGGAGAAGTTGTTTTCATACCAGATATGGTGCAGTATCCATACCTAGCATACATAGCAGTTCTTTTCTAAATAAAGAATTCTCTTTCTCCGCTACTTTTGTGTAACACCTATTAAAAAGGTGCATTTTTTTAGTGGGGACTTACTTAATACAAAATCACTCAAAAGAGGAACCTAAAAAAGGCTTTGAAATATTCTACTACAGAAAGCTTTAAAAACTTTTATAGGAGTCGTTCACTTGAAGACAACCAATTCCTGCTGGTTATTCTGTATCAAGCTGGATGCTGGTACACAGTCCTGCCAAGTCCGAAGTAGCAGGGTTGTTTGACTCATTATTATTACACATTTAATCTAAGATTAGTTAATGGCTTATTCACAGTTTGACCTTTATTCTCTTAATGTGTGTTTGTTTATGAATATTTACTCACCAATATTTCACCAAAATATTTACAGAAATAACCTTCAGACTACCCTTGTTCTCTACTTTGCTGTTAAATATTTTATAGTTGTGCTATGTCGTCACTCATCGTCACTATACTCAAAGGTATGGTACCTTTTCTGCTCCATGAACTGATGGTCATTTAAACAAGGAGGAAACAAACCGCTTGTACAGGATTGTACCTTTTCTCTAGGAACTTTCAGATAAGTCACTGTTCTTTATTTACAGAGCTACTCAGGATTTTTGAAGTCAGAATCTATTCATGTTTCCCCTTTCCTTGTTTTTCACTTCCCTTTGCTTGGCAGACATTTTGAAAAAGGCAGTCCTTTATTTCGAAAATCAGAATTTCCAATAGGAATAAACAGGACTTAAACAGGTGCTTGGAGTTTAGTGCTTACTTACAGACTCAGTCCACAGATTTGACTTCTGTCCTTGGTGCCGGCAGGAGAAAGTTAAAGTCCTGGTGGTTTGGCGCTATCCAGGCTTGGCTCTTCGACCGTGGAACCACCTGGGCGATCCACCGTACGCTGCAGCGATGCCAGGCCCAGGCCGTCCTTCAGCTAGCACAGAGGTAAGGCCGTATAAGAAAGAAGAAATACAGAAAGTAATTCTATCTTGAAAACTGACTCCACAAATGCCATCCATGGTATCTCTATGACATTTCCAAAAGACGATTCCCAAACTACCAGGTTAGTTTTGGATAGGATAAAAGGGTAATGATGATTTTATCACTTGAACTGAGTTCAGTAACAGTTATCTTCCTCTGAACAGGTCAAACAGTATTATTATTTATTTCTAATCTCATACCATTTATTCTTTATTAATTTTTTTTACTGACAGAATTTTTGACTGCAGAAGCTGAGAGCTTGACTTGTACCAAGGGGCATGTTTGCTCAGCGTTATTTGCTCAGTACCTTGTGTGGCTGTACTTCTCCGTGTGGATGAATATCTCCCTGTGAATCTTGTTTTGAGTTTGCAGCACTGACAGTGAAAGCTGTTCTCACTAGGTGCAAATGCCAGCGAGCCACATGCTACACTGCTTTGTTTCCTGACTGTACCAGCATAACTCTTAAAATGAGACTTTTGGCACAAATAGTCATTATTGCACTGAGAGGACATTCTATCAGCACTGTTTAAATTGGGACGTTTAGTAAAAACTCTGTCCGATGTATCGTTACAATCATTCACTTGAATACTAATGAAAAAGCAAATAAAAAGAGGCGTTAAGGTCCTGATTCGGGAGAACACAGAATATTCCCTTTAAAGTTCCTTTTTTTATACCCGTCTAGGTTTGGCAAAGTGCTGAAGTCAGCATGCTGGAGCCCTCTGCATAATACAAGGTTAATCCACACAAAAGCTAAGATAAATGTTTGCAAATACAATTTTACAGCCCTCACTCATCTCTACAATGAGAAACTGAATAGACGCTTTAACATATCGGCTCTGCAACACTGTCAACAAAAAGCAATGATTTTGGCTGCATAAACCGAAGTAGCTGACAGAGCCTTAGCTTCCAAGGGCGGGTGCTCAGCTCTCTTTGAATGTGAGACCTTTTTTAAAGGTGCCTGCAGTTTTGTTCCTAAAAACAAGGGCAATGAAAATCACTGAATAGCTTTGAAAAGCAGTCTGTAACTTCACTGTTGCCTGATTTTTAACTGTTGAAAATTGGAACTTCAACGTTATACTAACACATGTTTTTACATTTTCCCCAGAAACAGATGGAATAATGTTGCTCATGCTATGCCAACACCATGTTGCTACATAGTCTTTATTAAAATTGCTTCAAGGCAAAAAGCTGCATGCACAAAGGCGAGGGGTGGGGAAAACTGGCAACTCGTTTAGATTTCCAGACTTGAGTTCTTTAACTCTCAGCCAGCTCTGTGCATCATGAAGAAAAATCCATAGCTTCACAAAGGGTAGAAAAGAAGGTTATGTTGTGGGTACTGGGTGAACTGAGTCCAGGGGGTGCTTGCCCTGTGGAAGGTAGCTGAGGCATACAAGTAAAAATGGAGAAAAGGAAATGGAAGAACATAAACAAAACGAAGGACAAACTTCATGAATTGAAAAAGAAGAGAGAAATGTGAGAGGAATGACATTTAAAGGGAATAATAGAATTAGGTAGTTTACATCAGTTTTTCTTGAAATCCAGCAAAAAAAAATGCAGCTGCTAAAGGTATCATTTTTTCCTTCCTCATCTTGCTCAAAGATTAATCCAAGTTATGGTAAATTGCATGTGGAGCAGATAGGCGCCTCTGTGTGTGTGTCTCTGTGTGTCTGTGTGTCTGTGTGTGTATGTATGTGTACGCGTACATATATAAATATGTCTTGAATATGGGCTTCTAAAGCAAAATCCAAAGCCACTGAAATAGGTGGAATGATTCCCATTTGGCTTCAGTGGGTTTTGGACCTCATTCCTCAAACTTTGCAGATCCAGCTTTGAAAACAAAAAGGAACAATTAAATGCCAGATTATTTCTCATTCTGAAAAATCTTACCTGAGTTTCCAGCAAAAACCAGCTTTTAATCTTCCAACCTTGTAAATACCCTCAGTTAACTAACATTGATTTCCCTTTGCCTATATTGAGAATTTTTATGTCCCGAAAGGAACCATTAAAAACATTTCCATGATAACCATAAAAATCACTGGAGAGAAAATAAAGTTTTCTGTGTCATTACTTTTTCTATGTAGTAATCAATTACAAATGAAGAACAGCACAGGTTCAATTAAGTAACTAAATAAAAAGGAATTAAAAGCCGCAGGGGATCTCTATTTTACTTATGTTGAAGTAGGGTCCAACTCCAGGCCTCATTGACTTGTTTGTACCATAAAATGGGGTTTAATTTCTGGTTTGTCAGCATTAGCTGATCATAATTAGGAAAATGGGGTTAGAGAAAACAGTGCTACTGCAAATAGCTTTTCCCAAGCGTAGCATTCCCTCCTCTGTGCTTCTCTCCAAATGGGATTATCCTGAGCTCTCAGCACATAGCAAGATATAAACGAAGCGTTTGACAAAACAAAGGTCCTTCCTTTGAAACATAAGATACAATTGAGGAAAACATTGAAAGCTCTGTCCCCACTCAGCAAGTCCATGAACACATGCTTAGCTTTAAGCGCTTGCTTAGATCTTCTGCTGGCTTCAAGTTTAGCATGGGCTGAAAAAGTCCTCGGTGTCTTGCAGAACTGCAAGTTCAGAGTAAGTGGCAAGAGATTCATTTAACAAGGAAATATACCTTTTTTAGACCTCGAAAAAAGTTTTCTGTGGGTTTGGTTTTGGGTTTCTTATTTTGAAGCCTGAGTTCTTATTTTAGTCAAATAGCTATTGTAACTTCAGTATAGACACCTAGCTTCTCGTAGGCAAAAACAAGACTTCTGGTGACATGCACAGTACAAATTCTGTGCAGACAACTGAATGGAAAATTTAGGAAGAACTGGCACCCACTGGATGCTTAGCCCATGAAAAAACAGCTCTGTTTGTCTCTTGAATTCACATATATGTGTATGCCAGGGCATACACATATGCAAAAATCATCACAGGAAAATTAGGGAACCCACTGAAGTCAACAGCAAAACTCTTAGAGACTTCAGCAAAGCCATGATTTCAGCCGTAACTGTTATAAATGTCGGCTTGGACTTTTCATCTCTAACTTTGGCAGTCCCACGGTCATTTGTTCCAGCTGACACCAACGGTGTGTGTGTGTATGGGGGCACCTAGCGAGGGGGCACCCCAGCCGCGAGGTGGGTGGATGGTCCTTCTGGCAGCGCCTGCAAAAGCAAAGGGACCAAAATGTCTTTTGTCCCACCATCTAGCCCGGAACCCTCCAGCCACCCATTTAACCTCAGCATGGACCTCGGCCTTCGCTGGCCCTCTGCAACTTGTCACCCCCAAAGGACCCTTCCGAAGCAGGGATCCCCGGGGGTCCACAGTCCCATAGCCAAGCCTGCTTCCCTCCCTCCTTATCCACTGATCTAGGAAGGTCCAAGGCTAAGAAAGGGGAAACACCAGCACCCCTTTAAGGCAGCTTAACATCCACTTAGCAGTTCAGAGCTGTATAAAGAGAAAGAGGATCTGCCCCATCATCTTTCCCGAGAAGTAGGTGCACCATATGTTCCTTTCATCAGGAGCTGCCCCTCCAAAGGACACAGATCTAAAATCACTCCCAGAAATCTGTTTGCAGAAAGATAACTCAGTATTTCTCATAAATCAGGCAACTTGATTTCATTGCCAAGATATTCAGCAAATTTCTTTTTTAAGCTGCTCATTTTTCATTCCTTCAGGCTACATTTAACCAAATAATCTTACCATAAATCGAAGCTCCTCTCATCACTCATTATAAAGTAGGCCTTGTTTAGAAATTCTTAGAATTGGTACATTCTTATTGAATGACAATCCTCAAAAGTCTTTCACTTTGAAAGGAGTAAAATGGAAATCGGTTCTTCTCCAAGTTTATCAGAAGGGCAGCCAAACACTGATGTTATACAGTAAGATCTTCAACTGGGAACTAGGCAGCTATTTTAATCAGTGGACTTATTTCACGTCTGTCAAGGACAGTATATTTAGAACTGGACAAGCTGTTTCTTCACAGCACCCATGATCTAAAACATGATCCAAGCACAGCTTTTCTCACACAGACTCCTTTGCACTTTGGCAAATCCCGTGAAAGAGAATTAGGATTACACACGACTTATCAACAGGGCCAGGATTTAAAAAGTGTAAAGAAGCGTCCACATAACGTAGAGCTGGAGGCATCATTGCTGCTTAATCAATAACAGGTATTTAATCACGTCCTCTAGGTGCCATCAGATTATTTGAGTGAATCACTTAGGTCAGGACACCAAAATAAAGCAAATTCTTTCATCACTGCTTATCCACACAAAGTGTATGTGAAAGTGATATAAGTGATAATCTTGGAGAAACTGACCGTAAACAGTATTAAAATGATCTCCTGTTGTACTGAGACAGAGCTTGGGCCAGAAAGAATAACTTTCATAAGGTAACTCTTTACAGCTGCACAATGTAGTCACACAGCAGACTGTCAACATTTCTGGAAGAGCATAGCCCCCAGTCTGGGCATCAAAATAAGCAGCAGGATTTTGAAAAGAGCTCAGCTCCGTACTAGCTATTCTTACCACAATGCAGAGGTGAGAATAGCTGGGTGGGGGACAAGTCTTCATTTAATATCAGACTTTTATGTCGTTGTTGAAGGAAAAATGGAGCAGATTTGAAAACAGGATCCTTAGTGAGCATTGGCAGTGTGAAGGATCAACAGAGATGAGTAAGGGTTGTCCAGTTCTAGTTGGGGCAGTAAGAAAAGTCAGCTTGGCCAAGAACACTAAACAAGTGAATTTAGCCACCCGAAACAAATTGCTGCTACAGCATTTTGCAGATTGCAAGATTGCAAGCAGTTTCTTTCATTTTAATCAGTCATTTGCATAGCAAAGGGATTCAAGAATGAAGACACTACTGTCCAGCATGTTCAAACCAACCTAGTCAAAGACACCAGCATTGTCACTCCTTTGGTACAACCCAGCACGTCATCCACCTTGTATCACTGGCTGGAGG